GTCAAATATAGGAACATTGCTGTAATAGATTATTATTAGAAGTATAGTCCACAACAAACTATCACGTCCTGCTAACCACGTTTTTTTTAAAATGATATCATGTTTCGTTTTTTAAGAACAATTTATGAAACCTTATTATCAACTATCGACTGAACAGACCTACTGCAGATATCGAATGATTGTCCTCTCTGAAATCTGAAATTCATCCAAAAATCTGTTGTAAGGCAGCTTCCCAGTCATTGGCTAGACTGTTCTTGAGAAATTGTCAAAAATGTACAACTACGTATATAACAAAACTGAAAGGAGAATTTTTGGCTGATGCTTCACAAAAACAAAACCAATTCGAAAAATAAATTAGTTTTCTTCACCCAAGAGAATTAATAATACCGAAGAAACCTGTACCTCTTTTTAACCATAATCAAAGTAAACCATTTAAGGGTTCTGAAATACGTAGATTTCTGCAGGGTGAAAAACGAAATCTTCAGTGTTTTTAATATACTTGCTGTTAGCCGAAATTAAGCGGAAAAAAACACAGTATATGTCACCAATATTAATTTAACTCCTTCCGTCCATCGGTTTATTTTAACTACATGAATCCCATTTTTTCAAACTCTACATTCTCCAAAAATTGAACGTTTTTCGGCTGCAAACAAGAGTGCCTGACATGACTCATTGATGTTTTATCTTTTTTAGTAAATTTGCCTAACCATACACTGCTATTTTTGTTCAGGATGTTTGTGCTTCCGCATGCAGTTCATTTACAAATGGTTCATTAACTTTTGGTTCCTAAATCTTACCATTTTGTGGTCAAAAGTAATGACATAAAATTATTAATGGTTAGTACAAACTTTATTAGTACCAAATTTGGCCATTAAAACAAGCCTTAGGTGTAAAATAATTGCTTTCATTTAAGGCAATTCTCAATCCGTCAGTACTATTCCACTTTTTTGCACCAAAATAAAATAATTACAAGACACACAGATTTTAACCTTACTAATTTATAGCACTTGAGTGTGGAAAGTGTAAGAGTGCGTTTGTCAACCAATAAATAAATGCACTCGAAAACATTTAACAACTTACACCTCCGATGTTCCTCAAATTAAATGTCTTTAAAATCTTCAAGTGGTAAGGCATCACAGGCATTTGATAACATAACAAACGCGTCTTGCATAATTGAGGCAAATGCTGTGATATATACGGTAGCAGCTATAAAGTGATTCATAACAAGGATTCATGTTCAAACCTTTTAGCTAGAGAATCTATCAAGTAAAAATTCAATTCTGAGTGGATAACCTGTAACCGTGGACGTAGAAACTATCATTTAAGTCGACTTGTAATTATGCTAAACAGTGAGTGCAGTAGTGAAACCTTGCATTTGGTGATCAGCTCAGTACATGAGGATCACACAAATTGAGCAATGTACCTTCGTTGGATTGATTTTCTACCTGAAGTTCATTGTCTGTACACAGTGCCAACGAATGCCCCGCCAATTTTCTCACTATTGATGTTAGAGGGTAGGCAAAATGCACTAACTCTAGTTAAGGAGGCATGGAGTGAGTAGTGCGTGTGCCTGGACAGACGATGGCCTATTCCATTCTGCATCCTACTCAGATCCTGATGTCAGAACGGTAGGATCGAAAGAGTTTTACACAGCATGATTTGCTGTCACTAATCAGTCTGTCGATGTCACTGAAAGCTGTCTTTTATCAGCGAAAGGAATCAATTCCTGTCTTCAACGACAGAAAGAGCTAGTTGGCCAGGTAAATGGGTGTTATCTTACGGCAAGGCGATTAGAAGATAAATTGCGGAAGGTAATTATAGTTCTATGGGATACATTACGTGTTCCCCGAAATACTTATTATCAGACTTCCTTTTGTAACTGTCTGTTTCAAGTGTAGCATCTCTTTTCGACAAACGATTGGTTTGTTTATCCCTCGATCTTTCTCCATTTATTGTGAGAGTTTTAAGCCAGCATTAGCTAATTTTGTTTTGTTCCAGATATTAAACTTTTATCGATAAATACTGACAATACTATTGTGTTCAATTCTTTGTTCTGAAAGAAAAATTTTTAATCTGTCAAGTTCTAGGATATTTTGCACACAAAGCGGTTATGAGACGCGGCAGTGATCTCGCATTCAACACAGTACGTTCTTAAATCCACAAGGGTGTTTAAGTTATGCTTAAAACAGTCACTTTCAAATCTTTTTCAAATAGACTATCAGCAACTTACATACTTAGAATGTTTTGCCAACCCGCTATTACTTTTTTGCACCTAGTGTATATGCATATCTGAAACCTTGTTTCCCAAATTTAGAATATTTGCATTTCGTCACTTCAGTTATTTCCCAAGTTTAGTGCCTCATTATGTTCTACCCGTGTCATTTACGTCGCCCAATAACATAAGGCGAAATGTGCCCTTTTATCTGGTTTAGTACATCTGTGATTTTTTGTTTTTGCCAATGTTTTGTTAATATTTTTATGTGCAGACACCAGAATGAAGTTGTAAAATCCAGCATTAAAATAGATGCCAAATAAAATTTTAAAGTCGACTAAATTATATACTAACTTTGAAATCAAAATTAATGTGTCAAGGTTTTCTAGCTGTGTGCTCCGATTATTAAGCTAATTGCTTTCGTCTAAAGTTAAGGATAACTTTGCTGCGCGTCATTATAGAGTAACTAACCAGAAATAGCTCCGCTGGCACGCATAAAATCGTAGCTGATTTCGTCGAGACCGGGCGTTCTTCGGCTTTTCCGTAAACTCGGTAAATTAACCACCGACGCCGCATGTTGCTTGTAGCATGAGCAAAGGCCGCTGAGGCAAACACAACGAACCCCCGGCGTCCTCGTGGGTAGTAGAATTTGATTTCCTCCTGGGCACAACATGCAGCAATCGCATCTGGGCCTTACATTTCCAAAGACTGCAGTCTGCTTCTCTAAATTCTTCACAGCATGCAATTCCCGATCGGTGCTGTTTTCTCCTTCAGACGACTCGGTAACAGTTCGAAAACTGAGCTGGTTCTTGTGGAATGCTTCGGTACGGTCATTTTTTACTTTTGTAAAGGGATTATTAAGAACAATACAATAAGAAGAGTCCTTTAGATTATCTAGGGAGGCCGAAAATCCACGTTCCTCAATGTTTGCTTCAAGGCATTCCACCGACCCTTCACTTCCAGCACGATGGTCGCCTTCCGTAGAGTTGTCTTTGGTCATGCAGGAGGTTCGAATTATAATTGGTGACGATGTGTCCACAGTTGTAATATTGGTGTCCGAATGGGATCGAAGAGAACGACTCTCCGTACCCCTAAAATTGCACTCGCCAAATTCCAGTGGCCTGACCGAAAGTGACGCTTTGCAAGGTATGCTGCTGGAAAGAGCAAAAGAGAATCGCTCCGGACGCATGGCACGCGGTGCCATTTCTGCAGTGGCCGGCCGAGTTGGCATACGGTTGGTCGAGTTAGTCACAGCAGCTGCTTCGGGTCCATCGTGAAAAATTACTTCCTCCTGAGGTCTTGTGACACAAGCCAGCGGCGTCGGAGTCACATCTCCAGTTTCTGTCTCATTAATTCTTGTAAGTCTGCATTCACTTTCGGTTGAAGCTATTTGCAGCTTCCTTGGAGTTAATTGGAGTTTCTCGATATCAGAGGTGGTCATTCATTCGGACTAATAACCATAATAGTTATTTGGTAGCCACAGTCTGTAGTGGAGTTCTGTTCTATGGGCGCATCGGCATTATCCCAGCGAAGCTGATTGGCCAGTTTTCCCCTATCTCCTATTGGACCAGTAAAGACCATGAATAGCATTTAGTTGCACTTAATAAAGCAGCCAACAAAATGCATTAACTTGACATGGAATTTTATTTTATAACCTGTTGGCGATTTAAAATTTGGAAATTAATTAGTGTTCTCCCATTTAGCTATCCGTAACTCATCTCAAACAGTAAAATTACTCTTCTACACAAAATTTTGACACGCTGACGACATCTCATTATAAATTCCCCCTTTTTTTATAATATTCTAAACTTCATCAAACAGCTACTCAGGTTTAGCTAACTAGTGTTTGTTTTAGTGTATTGAATGCTCTTTATTTGCCGTCTACTTGGATGATTAAACAGATTAGCCTTTTGCTTCCTTAGTAGGAAAGTTATTTGAATTATAACACAACTTAAAGTCACCGCTTGCATTTGCAGATAATACAGGCTGAAAATTGTAATTTCTGTAAGCATTAACTTAAACGCATCCACATCTATTAAGTAAAATGTTTTCTAGTAAGGGATCATCAAAGGTACAAATCAGTGTTCTTGATATTTCTGAATTCCAAAGGGTGAGTAAAGGGAGTGCCATTTTTTGCAACAAAGGTGACCCCGTACGTCTTGAACTCTCTATTAATTAATTATAAGGTCGCTGTTTCATAAATGTTTGTTTTAATATTTGATCCTGAAGGAACACCGATGGACAGCGTCTGACGTCAAAACAACAAGCGCGTCAACAATAATTTTAGTTTTTTTGAATAGGTTAAGCATCTTCAAGGTCACAGGAAGCATATTGTAAGCATTTTGAAACGGATTGTGTTCATCGGAATCACATTTAGGAGGAGATGAAGATATCTTTCTCAAACAAGGCCAAACCTACAAAATCACTGCTTCTAGAATTCTTGAAACATTTTGGCACTTTGACCTAATCAAGGTAGCTGTGCCTGAGGCAAATGTTTTCTATTATGTGAGTATATAACCGTCTCTTTTTCACAATGTTGCAAGCCTTTCCTGGATTAGGGTGTCTCAACCACTTAGCTTGCGTACCTGCTGCAAACATTAATGTCTCTCAAGCAAATGACCAGCCTCCCAAATTGTGAAACATTAGAGCATGCAGCATTGCATTGAATGAATTCACAGTAGCTAGCATGCAGCGCTTCATAAATTTCCGCTTAGCTAATGTGAACCTAGAGGACATTCTCATTGCCAAAAACCCTTTCTCAACCAAACGCAAAATGTTATTGGTGATGCATTTGACTAACAAAACAGAAGATATGCCCTGAGGGCATTTAAATATGGAGTCACTCAAAAGTAGCTTAGCATTATAGCTCTGCTCCCTAGCTCTCTCAATTTGTTTACCGAGTCAAACAATTGATACAATCGCAATGTCATTTATCATTGCGGTTTATGTACTGTGAGCTTTTCACTGCTTATGCCTTAGTTCCCGCACTGTTGATGACGAACCACAACTTGAATACTGAAAGTTGTAGGTCTTACGACTACTAATCTTGGTAGGCACAAATGAATCCAAAGCTTGAAAGCCTCAGCATTTTTCTTTATAAAATGATTTTTCTGACTTTCATTTTTATGCCCCCAGTGAAGAAGTCTATTAATTGTTATATTGGCTGCTGTCGAGCTATTTCATGTACCCTTGAGCCATCATATAAATGCACATACTCTCGACATTTCCTCTCAAAATTACCAATCTGGGGTCCATTTGACATCGCCCAAAGATTAATCTAAAACAGACAGATAGGTGATATGTCCACCATACACATAAGCAGGATCTTGTTAGCTAATGGACTCTGTAATTGCCTGCTATGCGAATCTGGAAATGTCATTGTGATGCAGGACAAACCATCGTTATGGCTTTTTCCTCCATCGCGACTGCGCGCTCAGTCCCTACACCACATCTGCCCTAACAGCTGAAACAATCTTCCTCACATTACGGTCCCAATTCTTTCATGTTATTGAATTCGCAAATTCAATAACACGTATAAGGTAACAACAAAATCAAAACGACGTGAGGAAAAAGATGCAAAGAGAGGTCAAAAATAGCAGTTTGGGTTTTTTATGTTCTAAATACGGGCGCAGGTGGTCCATCAGAATTTGATCAGAGGAACCTTGCTTACTCTGACATAAATAAGCCCCGGATTATGCTATCCAACGTACTTCTCTTAGTTTGGTAAGCAGCAACTGTAAAAAGTAGGAGGGTTTCAACAGACGTACTATTTTTAATGAGAGAATTAATGTACTTAGAGAGGTCATTTTCTTTGTAAAGACTCATCTACTTCACTTTCGCCTCGTGATTGGTTGTCTTCCTCTGTCGTGCTGACGGTCTAAGTAAAAATCAAGCTGTATAATAACCTAAAGAGCCAAATTCAATGCAGGCAGCAAGTTGAAGTATTAGGAAGATATGCCCTAACAGTATAATTATTTCGATAGTAAATGTCGATGAAATTTGACACCTGAGTGCCAGTGTCTGAAGCATTCATGGCTTCATCTAAATTAAATTTTTATTAATCGTTTGGTTAATAATATTTTCATACGCCGATCGAAAATATCAATTATTCTTGAGACATCTCAACTTCTAAAATTTACTGTTGTGTCAAATGGGTTGTTAGTTGTAACCAGTGCACCATCTGTTCAAGGCGTCTTCGTAATAATAATAAAAATAAATCGCATTTGTTACATTGAAAAGCTAAGTGAACATGAGCCAGGCGGTCAACTAAATGTTAAGAAATCTCGAATTCATTAAATCTCACCCCCAAACTCCTAACTAACGGATTCTAGGAGCGCAGTAAAAGTACAGTTCAATAAACCTGTTGGTGGCTTTGATGCCAGCTTTCTTTCCGCAACTCGTCTGCGCAGAGTTGCTTCCCGACTCACAAGTCATTACGCCAGTTTTTTACAACTTTGGAATTACTGGTAACAAAGCTACCGTTTGAAACTTGCAATTATACCAGCAACTCCAGAAATTCTTCGCAAACAGGGACAGCATAGAACTCACAGAGGAAAGTACCAACATCTATTAATGAACACGAGTAAACATTTAGCAAAATGAAGGATTGCTGAAAGTTTGTGATAGGACTTGGATGAGAAATGCTAGATGTTACTGAAATTTGGCAAGAAGGTTTGCGGAACGAAGGCCAAAAAATAGGTAAGCGGTAATAGAACGCCAGTTTCTGAGGCATGTGGATAAGCAACCTAGGGTTCAGAAGATGGATTCAGTCAAGGCCTAATAAGTCTGATATTACTTTTCTACTCCACGTGCCAGAATACGCACCCGTATAGCAAGAGTACTTTATTGGAGCCTGGTACTTTCTAAGAGTTGCTGCCTGATTATTCATTTCGATTGTGATTCATTTACTGAGTTATTAAAGAAGTCAAGCCCATTTGACCAATCTAATCGTGATTTGTTTTTGGTGCTTTTCAAGGATTCAAGAACTATTTTTTCGGAGTTGGGATTTAATTTAGAAAAAAATCACGAAAACCGAAAAGGCTTTGAGTAAAAGTGTGTAACGTTTCAATGTCAAAGCCCAATCTTAGATTAAAGAAAAAATAGAATTCATATGCCACAATGATTACAGTAATTAGTCCACCAGGCAAAAAAGATGGCTTAAACATTTTTTTGATTCTTAAGATTGAAACGATGTAGTTGAAGAATAATTTTTCTAAGTTAGTTCCCAAAAAAGGATGTTGTCAAAAAAAAACAATTAACTAGTGATAAATATAGGGAATCTAAGGGATTAATATGAAAAATTAATAAGCCTGTCAGAACAAAGACAGTAAAATCTTCTGAAGAATTTTAAAATGTAACGGTTAAATATTAAGCACTTAGATTTTATTAGTGCCTTTCTTGTCCAAAAGTTATAAGTGTGCTGGGAGTTGCCAGAACAATAATCAGCTTCGGATTTGGTAAATTCAATTAGAAAATTGAAGAAAGGTTCAAGAAAATTGGCACAATGGTTATTTATGAGGGAGGCAGTTGCCCAATCACGCCTACCTTTGAAATGAGTCTGTTAATTAGAAGAGAGGTACTGGATTGAATTAGCGAGTCGTACAACAGACTTGGACTTCGAAAAATGTCCATGACTTGATTACCGATAAACTCATGCAAGTGCATACACCCATGGCCAATCAATAGTGAAAGAAGAAGATATTTCTCCAAATGACTCACCTGTTTACTAAATCAACAATGTTCTTCAGTTCAGAGCTCCGCCATTAGGTTGAGATCCTGAGTGAGGAAATTGCGTTTTGGCAGTGTTTAAGTAGTCCCTTTCATCAGCCCACATTTTGTTCCATTAAATTTGGCCACCTTGAGCTCCCCGAAACCAGTCAATGAGGAACGGACAAAAAATTATTAAAGAGGTCGTACTTCCGTGTTGCATAGTGCTTGTCTGTACCTATTAGCTAACAGAATTATTAACTTTGCTGAGATTAATAGATGAGAGTTCTTATCCTGGAGACATCGTTTAAACATGTAAGAGCGCACAATCCCGATAAAATTGTGCATTTCTCGTAAGTAAACCTACAATGAGTACGAGATATAGGATTACGAATGGCTGTGGTACTCACGTTTGCTGGGTTGCAATTTAAAAATTGTGAACTGCCACCAGAAATATTCACTACACTCACGAAAATAACTGTCGCCAGACGGAGTCACAAGATTCAGTTTTTACTGGTTTTGTGGTAATAAAGATACGGCTGAAACATCTAATGACAAAGTCAGTTTTCCCTGCGGTTTGATCCAGTTCGAGTCGATTTATCGAAAAAAATTTACCACATTTCAAAATTAAAGTGTTTCAAACTAGCAAGTGCATTTAATATTGGTATTTTCTAACTGATAAGAGTAATAATTTATTTCGATTAATTAAATCACTCCGAGTAATGCGAAATATTGTTGAAAATCTCAAAGATTGCCATCTTGTGGCGGAAGAGTGCGGCATCAAGCCTTCTACGGCATGTCGATAGCCTTTACGAGGTGATTTTGTTTAGAAATCAATGGGTTCTGGAAAAAAACCTACATTTTCTTAACTGCTCACGTGGTGAATCACGATAAATCAAATCAGCCAACCATGTCGCCAAATCCCCGGACATCTCCCCCCCCTCCCCCCCCCTAATGCGGCCGGGTCTGGCCATGCACTCTTGTGTCACTTGGACCGCCCACCTTTCCATTCACACACGTGACGGCATACGACACAAAAACACGCGTTGAGACACCTTGTGAGTGGCCGAATCCTTCTAAATCTTCTCACATCTTTCTATACTTGGTGCTTAATGCCACAACGCTCGCATCCCGAACTTTCGACAATTACATTTGGTTTGATGCGAACAACCTTCTTCTCTCAACCAAACAACCCATCTACTGATGCCATTGCACAGGGCGTGACTTTGGGGAGGATTGGGCATGACCACAGCTCGTCATTTTGTGGTCTAAGATCTGCATTATTCACCCCTTCATGATCGGTATAGCCGAACTGACACGCATCCAACATTGACTCAGCCGTAATTGTCTTTAAACCAGGATTGCATCATTAAAAATGGCCTTCTAGATTGTATCTAAGACGGTTACAGTACGCGTCCTTCTGAGGGTACTCACAACACACACATTAATCAAATCTCATTGCATCGCAAACTGGGCGCCGATAGCTCAGAGGCTCACGTCCATAATATTATGGCAAATTTTTATGCAAATGTGTTTACTTCAGTCGCTGATTCAAAAGCCCATCCTAATTAAATCTCGAGATTGACTTAAGTAGACTGGCATCAAACCACTACCGCCACCGCTTTGTCGAACCTTCTTTTTGAGCTGCGAATGTGAACTATAAGCACTGTTGTGAGGTGGCAGCCACTGCTATGCCATCACCATCACAGTTCCAGTGATAACGTTGTAAATAAACGACCATATATATTTTTTTTGGGGAAACTACCGATCGCGTATTGTGCAAAATTACGACAAAATTAGCTCAGGTTAGCCCTAACAATAGGTCACTGAACTCAGTCTATGCCCCACCATACACTTTTTGTCCTGGCCATCACACAGCGGACGTCACAATTTGTAATTTAGTGATTCCTAACGGGACATCCTCAATTGGGAACACATGAAATACGATTCAATCTGACTAAAATCCCAAGATATTTCTCGACAAAGTACACACTGGAATAACAGCAAACTTGATGGGAATTTGAAGTTTCGAATCGTTTGTCACTTGACTTAAACAGGTAAGAAAATTCGAGAATTGAGTTCTCTTCGAATTAAATTAGCTTCACCAAGTCTACTTGAGGAATTCCAATTAACAAAGAGCCTTAATTTTCGAAATCTGCGTAAAAACAATTCAAAGTGCAAGTTTTGTGGGGCTAACACTAGTCCCTTCAGAAAAGAAGGAATATGGAACCTCTTCTTACCAATAAAACAAAACACCATTCGTGAATCCATTATGCTGAACGGAGTGGTAGTGGAAACTAGGCGATGTTGATGGGTAGATTAAAAGCAAATGATGAATAATGAAGTCGTGTGTTTGAGTGTGGAGCACATTTGAAAACTATTGCACAAAATGCATAAGATGGTCGTGGAGAAAGTAAACTCATGCACATCCAAATCGACGATAATCATGTCAAAATGGAATCGTGGCCGAATCAAAGAAATCCTGCATTCGACAACTTCACAATTGCGGGCTATTTTAGCATTTTTCTCTCAACTTCTGCTCATCCGCATTCCGTTTGATTAAATTTGCATAGCTGGCTGGTGCTATAAAGTACATGAGCTCCATGAATCGTGAATTTCTACTTAGGCTTCTACCCGTTTTCGCAATTCTGCATGAACAGCTGTGTGGAGTTCAAGGGTAAACTAGCACGCTTTGCGTGCTTCGAGTCCAAGCGTAAACCAGAATGCTTAACTCTTACCTCCAAATTAGAGCAACGATGAGATAGGCTGACTGATTTTGGTGTTGAAATTTGCTGAAACGATGATTCTTCACCTCACTCCTAGAAACATTAGCACCTTAAGTCTTAACAATCCCACCTGCATTTAATGATTTCAGAAAAACTACTAATTTGCTAGACCCCATTCATGGTAGCCCATGTGTGGCTCTTTAAGTGTGCAGTGAAGTTCTACACGGTACCACGTGGCTTTGTCTTCGACACACCTCAAACACCATGGATGCTTCACCTCGTAGGACCTTAGATATTGGTTATTGGACTCACAGAAACGGTCAAGTCCTGTTCTACTTTTGCATGAATACGTGCCACAATGTACATTCGAAGCAATAGAACTTGTGTGAGAACATCGTGGCAAACGCGGCGGACTCATTCAGACACCAATGATTCTACTCATTGCCTCACGGTCATCACTAGTTGATATAATGAAGAACTTATGAACCCAAATGTGGCACAAGATATCTGAGAAGCAGCCTTAACCACTAACTTCTAAGTACGAAAAACAAAGCCGTCCTGAAGCACGTGGAAAAAAACAACGAATATTCCCGAATTCCCCGATTCTCAGTTTAAGTCTGACATTTGCTGTAATGTCAATTTAAAAGTGCAAGTTTACATAGTATTTAAGGGTCAATAAACTGGACCATTTGTATAAGAATTTACATAGAAAGAAAAGATATCGATACAGTACTCTGCAGTCCATGTAGCACCCTTAGAAGGTAACTTTGACGTGGAATTTGCGCGGAACACGAGAAATACGCCAGGAGTCCTTCTCCTCGTGTTTGTTGTACAGTGGTTCGATGCGCATAGACTTTTTCGCCCTTGAGAGCTTGGTCGGGTCGCCGAATTTGAAGAATTTGGGTGCATACTCGACCAGCCAACGAGGATCAATTGTGGTGACCTCACGCATGTACTCCTTTGTGGTCATAACCAATTCATGGTAAACCACCCTGAACAAGAACAAAAACCAGGTGGATTGAAGTCAAGAGAAAAAAACACGTGTCGAATCCTTCGCGTTGAGCTGTAGGGCTGCACACACAGACACGTAGGCAGAGAGCATAACACGGTGTGTGGCGTGTCCATTGCGCTGCCGGACCCGTACCCTGGGTCCGGTAAAACCCAGGTCTTACATGAAACGCTCATCTAATGGAGGGTAAAATTGTTGTCTAGAAAAGCACTTATCGAAAGCGATGGAGGGGTAGTCGTATGTATCAACAAACAAGTTAATCTCCGATCATTCCAAAATGACAGGGAATCAGGGCGATACCTGAAGTTTGTTTACGACAGTTGGAGGAGCATTAAGTGAATCACACCTCTTTACCAAGCAGGCACTTAAAAACATTTTTGTTTTCACCCCTGTTAGGACCACATCCGTTCGATAACGCTCTTTGTGTAGCCGAAAGGCCAGGTTAGAACCCAACGCCCCACTGCTAGCGAGCAATGTCGGAGAGATAAGCAATCTATGCTCTATTAAGGCGGAGATGAGCGTGCTAGATAAATGTTTGAGCGTTCTTCCCCTTCACTGACGACGAACCACGGGTCGAGCGGAAGCCAACCGTTGTTTTGGTTAGGCAAGAGCGCTACAACTACATCGTCACGGAATAGCAAGAAGTTGTACAATGAAGAAGGAAGACTCAACAGTGCGCAAATTAATTATTGATAAGCCAGTCAATCCTAATTAGACGCTTTTACTACCCCTTGGCTAATTAACGTACTGACCGTTTGCGACCTTTATCGAAGCACTAGTTATTATGACCATGCCACATTATGAGGAATTTTGGGATGAAGGAATGCAAAATGGGAGGATACGACTTAGCTGTCTTCAAAACCACGTTTAACAAAAGTAGCAAAATCAACGTTTTCATGCTCCGAAAGACTCTCAAGGCACTCAATTGAGAAAAAAATGGTCATTTCGCGCTGTTAGTAGGTTGGGGAACTGATTTTTTTCAAAGTGAGCTCGTTTTCACATGCGCGACTGCGAGTTCTGTCAAGTAGGGGGAGAGGAAGAGACTCAAATCACGCACACCAGAATGAATTACAATAGGCGGACCTAGGCAACACGTGGATTATGAATTGCCAGACAATCAAACATCACAAGCTTCCACCTGAGCAACACACTGGAGGCGATTACGAATAGAATCAGATAAGCCCGCCATTGGCGTAGAGGTCCAAAACACGGGTAGAGTAAATTAACCCACAGTTCTTAGGCAGTACACTTCGTGGGATCGGAATGCCAGTTTAGGGGAGTTAAACACTATTAGCACTTAAGGCCATTTTGCTTGTCAGAATAAAAGACACTGCCACTTGTACACAAGTGTGATGTGCGCGAAACAAAGTTACAGCGAAGGCGTGGTCAAAAGCGTGGATTTTGCTGATGACAAGCAACAAAGACGTTCCAACCCACCCCCAAACACACAGATCAAACGACTTTGAGCACTAACCAGTCGGGCTGTCGGTTGAAGAGGGATGACGAGGGATGAATGTACACAACCTGCTGATCAACAAGAGTGCGGTAGCCTTCTTGCGGGTCCTTTTTAGCCGCATTACGGAAGAAACCTGAGAGGATTGCTTTTTGGACAAGAGCCGTTTTCTTTCCGCATGAAAGCAAAGCTAGTTTGTGTCTGGAATGGAGAAAGAGAGGCCAATTAGAGATAAGGTGGAAACACAAATTACCATCAAGGTCATTAGGGCACCCTCGAGGTTAAGATATCGCGGTAAATTCGAATTTGGCCACAACCACTACACAGCTCTACGTGTTGCTATATCAGGGCAACAAAATGAAATTGAGATTCACATACGAGATGAAACTAACTGACAACCAAATACATTTTCCGGAGTCAAATAGGGGCTTTGAATCAAACACTCAGGAACCAAGGCAGCCGAGTGGCTTCCTTCCCAAGTCGAAATTGTAAACACATCGTAAATACCCCGCAAACTTATAATGGAAAGTCAAATAGAAGCACAACAACTGTTGATCCTACCAAAAAATTTCCAGCGAAGATAAGCCAATCCAGATTCATTCAAACTAGTGTGCCAATCCAAAAAACGCGTGGTTCCACACAATTACTTCTACATAACATATTCGTCAGAGATTAACATGCGGTCATAGCATCCATCATTGTCACACGGCACTTACTTCGAAAACGGACTTAAACGATTTGCGCATTATAAAACTAAACGACACAAATTCCACCTGACAAGAACCAACTGAGTTATTAGGGTTGCGGGAACGGTGCAAATAACAGATACGCCCACGAAATAATTCAAAACGTCAGGAGGGTTTTTACTGAGGTTCGGTTGACCAAGGATGGAACCGTGCCCATAAATCCTCTGAACATGCGCAGAGACTGGATTGCACTATCGAGCAACCATTCGTGAGAGGATATCCTAATGTAAAGACAAATAGCTCAGAGTTGAGACTGGTGAGTTGAAGCCCGAACAGCAAAGTCATTGAATTAAGGTGTGTCTGGGATGTCTTGAAAGGGTAATGTGGGAAAATCTGATAACTGCTTTCCACACGTAGGCTTGTTGGCATGAACTCGTGAATGTAAGAGATATTCTCCATGGGATAAGTCTTTTCAAGCCACATTTAAACAACAAATCGACGTTGTCATTTTCCCTACTCCAGGTAGTGACAAAACGTTTGGAGTTTGCAAGCAGAATTTTAATGAGATATCTCAGTGGGGTGATTTGAAAAGGGCCTTCAAAGTCGATAAGAAGGCGCCAACATACCTGTCCATGATACCAAGGAGTTGTTTTCGCACATCTTGGGCGCGCTTAAGTGTCCTGGCCTGGACAAAGTTGTCGTAGCACCACGGGGCGGAGAACTTGTTGTTCTTCCAGGCGTTGTAGACTGCCAGAAGCGTCAGATGGTCGCCCTCGGGTTGATGAAATTTCGCCTTGCGCTGGTCCGCCAATTCCGTCTTTTCCTTCACAGGAGCAAAACGCGGACATTAAAGCACATCGTGCACGGGAAACCCACGCAAACACAGTCCACTAGTCAGCACATTTGAACAGCTGATTTTAATAACTACATGACTCTAGTGAATTGCGTTGGAGACAACTAATTATTGTAAACTGCAAGTCTAATCTCTGATGATGCAACATGTGACCTTTACAGACCGGCTAAAGACATAATTTACCCATTAGGATCTATGAATGCTTGACTGTTTTTAATGATATCCGCCTTTTAATGATAGTTGCAATCTCCAAATCACCGCTAGGCCGACAATAACGGCGCTTGAAAGGACTGTTGGGTTTCAACATTACTTCAATTTGCAGATATTATTGTGCAGGTTATACTACTACAAGACCTGTACATTAAAGCACCACATTATATTATGCAAAATTTGCAGAACGCTCCACACAGTTTTAGAGAAGCATTTACCCTGCATGACGAGCAAATTTTCTTCAAATTTAAAACTAACCCCCCCACCACCACCACTGTGAAAAAAGTGTCTTCTTGGTTGAAGTCATCTGAAGGAAACCACAAAGCCATAATACAAATCGAAACGGCCCAAGACTTTAATGGTTTGCATAGTCACTTCCTCCTCCTCCTCCTCCTCCTCCTCCTCTACCATTTTATTATGACCGACTCGAGACAATGCGACAATTTATAAAGTCAACAGTGCAGTTTTAAAATTAGTTTACCACAAACCGAGTGAACGGCCATGTCAAACAACTGTCTGGGTAGCTCGAGATAACTGACTACTTCATAGCTGGAAACACGGAAGGAATAATTAGCCACGAATTATCTCTAGACAACATCGAAATTGCTTTCCCCAAGGATTTGACTTTTTCCGATCCCACTACGGTCTAGACCTCGATGTCACTAATAAAGCTTTCGGGATTTTTAAGTCGTAATTTACAAAAGCCAGTGACTTGTCTTGATTGTTGTGTATTAAGCTAACTACTTATGAAGGGAAAAATTACCACAGAGATGGACTACGCATAGGGCAGACAAATTCAGCTGAGTGGTCTACAATATTCCGGTAAAATTAAGCCAGTCGCTTCATAAGCAACACGAAACATTCCAATCGCACTCATGTAGAGGCTGTAACGTGTGTTAGGACTATTAAGAAATTCCTCACTGTCTGTGTCGTTAGCGACAGAATGTTAGGCCGAAATGTAGATACTCGATTGTAAGTTATCTCATAGAGTTGAACGAAAGTTGCTGTTTATGCACAAACGCCCAATTAGGCATAAATCTTCAGAAACATTAGCATTTTCGGTAACACCACTAACTCGACGGTAGGTGATAGAACGCTACACGTGGTTTGTTGAACAGCCGCCTGCTGTTTTCGCGTCCACTGGCCAGTGGCTGCATAACTGTCACGTATGGAGTTGTTTTGTGCTGTGACCAGAACCGCACCAGGAGGTACCCACCTATGAACACGTGCTGAGGGAAGCACTGGAAGGGAATACTGCCGAGAGACTGCCAGGGCGCGTTCGAATAGCAGGGACAAAACGAACGAAAAGCAGGTAAGTTGGGAAATTAGAATCTTGTGCTCTTCATACTACTAATCACAATCAGTAAAGGGAAACAACTGGAGGAAGTCAGCGAGTACCGAGACAATTGTGATAAAAGCACAAGTGTACCAACCTTTGGTCGATAGAAGACGTTTTGAACAGAAAGCATGGAGACTATGGTAAGGACTTCCTCTGAACACGCTAGTTGGACAGACATGATTAGCATCTTGGACAACATCGGCTCCAGAGGGAATTCGGCCATCTAAGGAAGTAAAGCGGGTTTGTGGGATTAGAATGTGTGCCATTTCACCAAACACAGAGAAAAGAAGATCCGTGTAGAGGAGCAGTCTCCGCAAGCGATCGAGACCAGCTCGTCAGAAATGAACAAGGGCTAATCCCGTGGTGGATACAATTTAATTGTTTGAGCATTGTGGAGAAGAACTTCTTAAATGCAACGAAGCAGTAGCCTCACAATGTGAAAAAATGGCACATTGAGAGTATTGCTGTAACATGCCAAAACAAGTGAATTTCCATGATAACGTAGGACTTGTGGACCTACGATTCTTATGAAGCTGTACTCACACACATCGCACTTACGTTACTCAGCCGGATCAACTAAAAATAGCACCTTAGACATACAATCTGGTAGAACTACTACAACCCATGACAATGACACGCGCACATATTGCTAGGTAATTCGGTTACATGTAAGAAGCGAGTGAACAGGAGGCAAAAAGCGGCGATTCGCAAACTCACCCTTCGTCCCAAACGCGTGAGTAGGCCTTCGTCATCAAGAGCAGAAAGAGCATGCAACGTCACCATGGCAGCCACAAGAGTCTACAAAAATGGGATTAGGTTGTGGTGCAGAAAGTGAAAATGCCCAGGACTTCCGTCTTCTATGCAAATCATTAACTTAACAGGCACAACAATCACCAGCTTACTAATCCTCCCCTCCGCCAGATTCATGCTATTCACCACCGTGAACAGAAAGGGGGGAGAGGAAAAAACACACAACTGATAACAACAAAAGCTGACGTTTCTGGGTGGAGGAATTAGACGACACTGGGGCGCAGGCCTTTGCTCAGGTTCCCTTGATAAGGAAAGAGGATACTTTGTGCGTACAAAGATTGCCGAAAAACAGGAAAAGGGCACATCCTGAATTGAGTTTGTTTACATCTGCACAGCCAACGCAAATAAGACCTTGTCGGTGACAAAAATCCAAATCAACAGGGAGACTGGGCAAAAGCATTATTTGATCCTGCTATTATTATTAACAACAGCCTGTAAACACACATAGTAGTTGGCTGTTACATCAAGGGGAAAACATCCAAGTCAACTTCTGGCCACCCTTGTGTTTATGACTTGATTAGAGTATGTTAATCGAGGTGCTATGGTTCTCTACAAAGCCTCATTTGGGTTTATTACACTGAAATGACGGGAAAACACTAACAGACGAACAATGAGGCAGGAGCCTTCTATTTAACAAGAGGCTCTGGATTCGTGCAGCATCCAGTCTACACTGGCCATTCAAATTAAACACAGCGCTGCAGAGTAAGGGAGCGTTTGAGTACCGGGCGGAATAAATCGCGTTGTAAGCAACAAAACAGGAAACGTGACAAAGCCCTTGGAGCATTGAGAATCCGGGTCATATTAACACGGATGGGTGGATTTCCTGCGTGTGGCTAAACACTCGTGCACAACAAGTTGCGCATTCCGTTAAAAGGCCGCTTGCAGGCTCTGCTAGCCAGTGATGCCGGCGGTGTCGTCGTCCAACTCCAAGTGACAGTGCTCACTTAGAATTACGTGGTAAACCAGACCCGTGTTTCTACCACAACGTGGACACAAATAAATTAACAACACTACGCACTACTGAGGCTGGCCGAGTGACTAAATTTACACATGAGAAGAACATTGATGACAGCAGTCGAGAAAATGGAAGAGACAGGATCTCAAGTAGTGGATCTACCTGGAGAGGGGGAGGGTCCATAAAGTCGAATGAAAGGAGGTCGTTTATGCCCATGGCCTTCAGCTGAAGCACGGTGCTGGCAAGGTTGGTCCGTTGGATCTCGGGGACGTTTGTGGAAAGCATTTCGTCGCGCTGCGCTCGCTCCGTGTAGAGGCGGTAACATTTACCCGGTCCAGTTCTCCCCGCACGACCGGCACGCTGCTTTGCTTGAGCCTAAAACAAACAATCCACAACAATGATTTACCGCCACACCAAAGTGAGGCAAAAATAACCTCGCCACGGTTCAATGAATGCGCGAATTTGCGAAGCTGTAGGTCGAAGTAAACAATGACCGTGTCGTGTACCACAAAAAATAAGCTTTTGACATCGTCGGAAAAACCACCCTGGTAAACTTACGACTCCGAGGATTACCGCATAAAATTGGGCGTCCGCATTGAGAAATTACAAGGGCTAATCACGTGCATTTCCTTGTCCATTGGGTTGAAAACGGGGATTCGGGCAATAAAGCAAGGAAAACGTCATGACAGTGACACACCAAGCCGACCAACGCCAGTTGTAATGGACTCCACTGAGTTGTCATTCGGCATAAGTGTTTCCATGGTCACAAAGAAAGCTTCTAAGAACGCCGTCATCAGCTCTTTATCATCAAGAAGTAGATGCTATCAAACAGGACTACCGAGTCACACAAAAGAAGTCACTTCCAAATTACATTGAGCAATAATAAGTGCACTGACCACGCGAGTGCAAACGTTGCTATGCAACTGATAAACATCATGGCCAAACAAATTTGTGGAACACCAGAGCACATCTGCCTGTAAGATCCATTTCACCTGATAGCTTAGACTGATGGGTGGTTGCTACGAGGCTGTTCTTAAAAAGGCTCCATAAGAGTTCTCCGAAGACGCTTCTTTTGTAGGGGCGTGAAGGTTAATAAAAGAACTGGCTGTGGCGATAAAGGGTTTTGTGTTGTTGTCCAAAAAAGCAAACTTTTAGTTAGGCCGATGCACAGTCCCCACCGGTAGACCATAAACTTCGCCGAAATAAGGGTAACCTTCTCAAATTCAAGCTCTCAAAACAAATCAGCGCTTCACTCGTCAACAATAAATCACAATCAGTTACATACAAAATTCACCAATCCCAAGCAAATGACCCAACAAGCTTTTAGACGGTCTTTCCAGCTACTGTGGGGGGTGTGACGCAGAAGGCGAACAATTGTTAAAAGAGTTAGTTTAAAATTCACTCATGCACGGAAAGCTGCGATGCGTATCGTGTCGCGTACAGCCCCAGCGCCCTGCGCAAATGCGCTTGGTAAGAAGCCATTTGCATAAAAGCTTATGGGATTGCCTCAGTTCGATCGAGGGCCTACACATCGTAATAATAATAATAATAAAGAATAAGTCCAACGCTACAGACCTGAGAGATGGGAGTCACTATTAACTGGTCCATTCCCGACTTGCTGCTGTAGACCTTTTGCTTAACGAAGCCGGGGTCAATGACGTAGAAGATGCCGTCGATGGTGAGCGAGGTTTCGGCAATGTTGGTGGCAATCACCACCTTTCGGCTGCCCGGTGGTGCCGGGTCGAAAATACGCGACTGCATTTCCGAAGGAAGGGCGGCGTAGACTGGGAGAATGATGAGTTCCGGTACATCGGGGCCCAGGGCTTTCATTCGGTCGTAGAGAATCTCACATGCCGAGTCAATTTCCTCTTGGCCGGTTAGGAAAACGAGAATATCGCCTAAAATGTTTTGCAAATCAGGTATTCAGTCGGTCGGAGGCTTGACATTTTGCCTGTTTCGGGCTGGAATGAAGCGAATTTTTCTGAAGACACCACAGGTATTTAATCAACCAGTTGATAAGACACCAAACGCAGTTTTTTTCAAGCATAATAAGTGAAGAGAACTTACCAGGAGGTTCTGTGAGGTGAATCTGCATAACGGTGTTGAGTGCAGCGTCCAGATAGTCGCTTTCAGGTTCCAGGCTGTATAAAATCTCAACAGGAAAAGCCCGACCGGGAATCGTGAATATAGGCTAAAATCAAGCAAACAAATCTGTATTCACATAGAGCCGATACACCTGGTTTCTACCCTATTCAGATTTTACGCAAAGATATGTCAGAGTATGGCTGCGCCACAAACTTAAAGGCCAATTACTACTGTTCAGAGAGGAAAAGTTTTACATTTCGAGGTAAACACTTCTTTACAAGGTTCGATCAGTGATTGCGGATTAAATCCTTAACTTTTTCCACGATAAGTTATCCCGCACAACCACAAGTACATTGCATACCGTTATTGTGGCCATGAAATTGGCCTCAGGATGCTTAAAAGGTTTTTAGAGGTATCTGGGCAGGGATGGCAAATGCGTTGAGAGATCAACTTTTCTGTTCCCCAAGGGGAACCCAGAGGCCGACCATGAAAAATTGAAGTGCACTAACAAAAGAGGCCGAGGATTTTGCAGATGAAATTATATTTAATCTTGAAAACTAAATTAATTACACGTGTACCCAAAAGTTGTAAGGAAACGAAATAAAGACTGGCGAATCTGTTGGCAAAAGCATGCATTGGACCGAGCATACTGCAGGCCATAGTTCGAATGCATACCACCAAACATTAGTGTCAAGTGTTAGACTACACGGAAAACCAGATGTGATGTGTTTTTAGCATACTTTAATAAAGTTTTATAAGCTTTGATTATGAAAGAAGCTACGCGAGAGTGAAATTTTTCACCGGATCTTGAGTGCATGCAGACGCAGACGCCTCTCTCAATGCGGTTCATTCTAGACCCCAGGATATGAAAAAAAATTATTAACCGACCAAAATTTAGTGAGCTTGAATTGGCAGATTTGATGTATTAGACGACTTTTCACATTCCACCCTGCTAACTATATGCTTGCCTAAATGAAACACAGAGTCATTTTACACGAACAAAGCCTAAAAGGCCTTGGATGTGAGGAAATCTGACCAACCAACAAATACCAAACGCGGAAAATACCAGGCAATATGACATAGAGAAAGCGTGGGCCGGCTCGGGTTATGAAACACTAAAACAGGACAGAGATAAGCGGTCTTGTGTTGTTCGAATGAGGAGGCAGGCGTGAGTTTGCTGGGTGCAAGACCTCACTGGCCCGAACCACCCACAAACGGGCATTGTCAAAAAGACAATGGCTAACGTACCGCCTCGAAGAAATACTGCGAGAACTTCACCGAATCTAAAGTAGCCGAGGTGACGATCAGCTTAAAATCGTCTCGCTTTTGAATGGCCTTCTTGAGCAGGCCGAAGAGCACGTCGGTGTTGACAGTGCGCTCGTGGGCTTCGTCTAACATGAGAACAGAGTACTGGCACAGATCGGGATCTATGAGACACTCTCGGAGAAGCATACCCTCCGTCATGTACTTGATTTTCGTCTCCGGCGTTGTGCAGTCTTCGAAACGGATGGTATAGCCCACTTCCTGACCCAGGCGACAACCGAACTCCTCAGAAACCTGTTCGGAAAAATAGAGTAGTCAGTAAAGGCAAAAATTAGAATTGCCTTCAATAAAGCGCTGATGTGCCTTAAATATTTAAGCCATAAGTGGATGGATGAATGGGACGTTTCGGTGTTTATATCACAAATAGTAAAGATGCTGCAAACCAGGTCTAAAATGCAACCGAGATGACAAAAAAGATCGACCCAAGTTTTGAAAATAAAAAAACAACTGATTCAGGTTTCGCAAGTAAATCACTAAAACGAAAGGAAGAGGGCGGGAATCTGACGTGAGTTTCTGCTTAGGTGACGCTTCGAAAGACCCAATTTCTTGATTCAACACTAAGAAGCACGTGTCACGTCAGGGGAGGTGTGACCTTCAGGCAAAAAATGCGCACTTTGAAATTGTCATAAATTTTTAATTTTTAGCGAAAAACAATAACCCAGTTACTTCATAAACACAATGCCCGGAACACGGAAACTAGTCGAATATCTGAAAGCAAAAAAATGCCACTTAGTTGCCGGATATAGTTTCAAGAAACGGCGGATAATCGGCCTCTTGAAACGGCTATCTAGGATGGAGTCGTGAAAATTTTAGTCGCATTTTTCATAAAATCAATTTCACATTCGTGCTTATTTAACTATGTTTAGGATATGTAGAGTTGCGATTTTAACTAAAGGTGGAACCGAACGTGTTTTGCTGGAAAACGCCATGGTTTCAGACGGTCGAACACATTGAGATCGACTTTAAAACAAATCATGCAGTAAATACAAACTTGAACAGCGGTTTTACGGCTCTACTTTGACAAAATGACATTAAGTGTTTATGGCACGTTAATCGAGTACAGAAGGACAAAGCCAGAGGTCAAGGGCTTACTCGCTTGGCGACGGACATGGCCGCCACTCGCCTGGGCTGGGTGCAGCCGATGCGTCCGGTCGTTGTGTAACCCGTTTCCGCGAGGTACTGTGTGATCTGGGTGGTCTTTCCACTGCCCGTCTCACCAATCACAATGAGGATTTTGTTCTCCTCGATGGCCTAAAGGATAATAAGACAAACACTAATATGTTGGAATTGTTCATTATTTTCAGTGATGCAACAGCGTATTGCCGTGACTAGTTTAAAACTGGCACGTGCAGAGCTGTAAAACAAGGCGGCCGCGACTTCTCCCATAAATACGTTTGACACCCTACCCTTACACAGAAAACATCCATTGTAATTATATCAGCAACGGATGTACTTGGTGACAACAAACAAAAGGATGAAATTGCCCCAACTGTCCGACATCGCTATCATTGCAAATTTGGCAGTGTAAACCTAAAAGTGGACAGGCCTAAATAAATTTAGAAAATGCCAAGTGAATAATTTGTGGTATGCAGTAGATGCCGTACAACAAGGGACAGTATGGAGTGACAAAGAAAGGTAAGTGTCCGAGACGTGATCACCCAAATCACTTCGATACATCGTCTCTAGCCCTGTGTTGAATTTTAAGACCACATCTAAGTGATACATCTTCATTGCTAATAGGTGTGAACACTTATCAAAGAGTCAAATAGCATTGAACTGTGGGCACAAAGGCACCTTGGTAGTCAATGTTACAATAAAAACCGAATAAACGAATTGCCTAGATTAAACAAGGCGACACACAATAGGTACAATGAAAGTAGGCCAACTGATGACAGATGTGGCTACTTTAATAGCAGCCAAAGTGAAAGAACTGCGACAGGTAGCATCAGGTAGGTTAATTAGCCAGTGTCATTAGCAGCTTAAAGCATCAGGTGAAGCCACGCTGTTTCTGTCGAATCGATTAATGAAGAAGCAGCGAATCGTATGCCACGATTAATTGCGTCATCGACAATACTGATCCAGGGCACTGATGTACAGCGACCTACACCAATTTGACTTGGGTAATCCTCTCAAACAGGGTGCCCCAATTACATATCAGAATAGACGAAGCACTCCTTGATTCAATTAAACCTGACTTTGAAAATAGTGTAGGAAGGCAGTTGATGTTGGGAAGGTGGGACCCACCTACCTCAGCTACCACGGTTCTTATAATCACTTGTGACAGGCTCTAACACCCTGAGAAGCATTTTCTTATTGTAGCTACGAGAAAAAAAGTTAACAAAGGCGCAAACAAAGACATTATAAACGCAGTGCTTCTGTTCCACAAAGTTACAAACTGACGACTCAATACTGCGGTGGAATTTCCCTAAAACTCCATATAAAGAAAAATCGAAGAGCGATAATCGTATTCATCAGGTAAAATTAAGGAAACCTCAAATATTGCTTTCGTTTTGCACCTTGTGTGGTATCAAAAGCAGGTACACAAACACGTAACAAGGAAACCCACTAAGGCCCAGAATTAGTTTAAGGTTGTAGTGACATTTCGCATTCTGATATAGGGAGGGAGGGAACGGGGGCGCGAAAAGGCAACATGCTCCCGACTTCAAGAACCGCCAACATGGGTAGGCTTTTGAGTTTTGAGGAAAAATCGCTCACCCGTTCACAAGCCCACAAAATTGTGGACACACAATTTTCTTAAAGATAAACCCTAAGCTCATAGACGTGTAGATTGTTGAGAAACTGGGCACCCCACAGACGATCGACTCGAAAACGAAGTTGCAATAACTGGATAATGATCGCCATGGGTGTCGAAAGGTGAAAATAAGCGTGAAGGACAAAGTCCGTGCGCGAATCTGACTGTCCCACATAACCGACACCAAAGAAAGGTAATCAAACAGAGATGGTGCCGAAAATCTCTGCTTCGCCCAGAGCATAACTGCAGCAAAATTGTAAGCTTAGGAACAAATTGTTGCAGGGGTATGCGACAATAAACATCTGCTGCAATGTACGCAAATGGTAGTAGATAGAACACTTTTAAATGTCGACTCGATGACGAATATACTTTACCACAAATTAACGAGCGCCAATCAAAATTGCTCACATACACCTTCGTTTGAAAAGACATAGCGTCGTCTGAGCAAGGTACGTCATATGTAACCAAGGTGAGAAAGATGGCAGTCACATGAAGATGTGCACAAGCACCGTTAAAGGACCTAGCAGACTTTTACGTGTGTTCTTCAACTTTGGCCTCTGACATTTACAAGGGAACGCATAACGGAAACATTACGTGCCACGTTTCACTACCCAGTAGGAGTTCAGGCAGGAGCCGAGGACACTGCAATTACGATTCACCCTATAGTGGTACTTTGAGTGAGATCTTGCAACATACAGGTCATAAAAGTAGGCAAAATCGCGACTCGACAACGCCCACTCAACAGGCAAGACGACTACGCAGACGGTGGCAAGCTCACCTTCAAAAGTTCGTCTTTAAGTTTATAAATGGGGAGGGACTGGCGTTGCTCCAGGATCGAGCGAACAATCTTCTTGCCAATAGTGCCTGATCTGGCTCCAGCACCATGAACCGCCTTCTTCCACTCAGGCACGTCCTTGAACTGATCGGCCATTCGGTTGCCTTGGGCCACCGGCTTGCTTCCCACTACACACGCAAATGAATAATTACATGTAAATCAAGCAAAAATGAAATTCCATATGAGACTTCACTCCAAATTAGCACTTAATTGGAAAATAAGCCCTGATAAGGTTGTTGGTTGCGGAAACTTACTGCTTACCCTGATGTCCCCTGGTAACATACTCGAGATTATTTTTTACCAGATAGCTACGCTGGTTACTTTAATTTAATCGGGTGTGGCAAACGAACTTGACTGCTGAAGTATTGAAAGTAGAAACGTTTACTTACTTGTAGCAGCCATGGGATCTTGCCACTCTTTGCCCATGCGCTCGTGGGCGCTAGCGCGCTCCGTGCTTAACTGATTTTGGCGTTCTTGTTGCTTCTCCTCGCGCCGTTCTTTCTGTAGAGCCTGTCGCATCATTGCAGCTTGCTGAAGGGATCCGTCAGGATTTTTGACAATCCTAACAGGAGATAACTCCATGGCGTGGCGACCATGACCCTAAGTAATAAGGTTGGCATAATTTGATTTAAAAATAAAGATGAGCTGTATGCATACGTCAATAGCCCCCCCCCATAATTCCACTGCAGTTTTACATCGACCCAAAAATGTACAAAAACCGTTAAATCGATTATTCCACACACATACAAACCCGAAGGAATGTCATGGTTAGGACAAGAAACCAATGACGACGACTGCACACAAGACCGATTGAGTTTACCAGATCTTTGTGAAGTGATGTAGGCGATCTAAAGTCTGTTTAACGGCTTCAGACCTCCAAGAGATTTTCAAGGAATAAAAACGACTACTACATCGTGAGTAGTCAGAAAAAGCTCTACCTGGAATACTACGAAATGATGATTGAAGCTCACTAAAAAAACTCAATAAACAAACTCGAAGTCTATTGATGTATAATTTTAAGTAGTGTGACTTAAAATCGACGTGACATACCTTGAGAAAAGGTGGTTCCTCCTCCACAAGCTCGATTTCAATATCTTCGTCGGATTCTTCATCGTCTCTCGGCAGAAGACCTGTCTCCTCATCAAACTCTGGTAGCTCCGATTTATCAATCACACCGGCACTTATCATCTGTTTGTACTCCCAGCGTTCGGGTGAACTAATACGCTGAATTTTTCTTTTCGGGCCAAAATCTTCATCGAGGGCGTCTCTCCGCAGACCAATCATAGATGAAGAAGAAAGCTGTTCAAACGGTCGATCAGGATTACGTCCACCGAAGTCATCCGCATCGTCGTTCATCCCGCTACTGCCTTCCAGTCGGCTGGCCTCATCACGTGAGTGCTTTTCTGTAGGCGCCGTAACAGCCGGGGCGGGGTTTAGGTCCTCGCCTGTTTTTTGGTCAACCTCGCGCATGCTTAGACTCGTTCGTGTTCCAGTGAACGAAAGCACTTTGACAAAGACCTTTTGGTGACGCTGAACAACATCGCTAACGCTGGTGACTCGCCCTTCTCGGCGTAGATGGGAAACGTGGACCAGGCCTTCCCACCGTTTCTGGAGTCCTTCTAGTTGAACAATGGCGCCGAATGCTAGGATGCTAGTTACACGGCCAGAGAAGATCTTTCCCACAACTGGTTCCATTGGGAGCTCGGATTGGAGTTGGGGACGGGCACGACGGGACGAAGAGGGCGACGGTGAACGCTCATGACGTCTACTGTCGCGATCTCGAGAGCTGTATCTATGATCACGTGGTCGATCACGATGGCTACTACGGTGACGCGGTGATCCGCCACGATGAGGTGACCTATGAGAAATTTGACTTAAAGTTTTGGTACTAACATCTTCAAATGGAAAAACAAAAAAATCAAAATACCAACAAGATAAATTCAAAGGCACATGGTTTTGCACCTAACAATATGCCTCTTTGTGAATGATACACGAATATGGAAAACAAGTGTTTAATAACATAATTTAGATTTTCAACATTCGCTGAGGGCAAAAACTTAGGCGTAATCATCGTTTAAGTGATTAGTATACTGAACGCTACATTTATTGTACGCTGCTAACCACAACTAAACCATGTTTTCACAAGTATTACCTTGATTCACGACGTGAATGGCGATCTCGGTTACGTCGGTAGTGGCCGCTGTGGTCAGGCCTATGCGGGGATTTAGATTTGCTCCTATTAATGAGCTTATGTTAAAATCAAATTAAATACAGTACCGTCGTTTTGGTGAAGGATGGGACTTTGATTTTTGATGTTTTTCAGCTTCATTGCGAGCATCACCTAAGAGAGCTTCAAGATCTCTCATCATATTAGCGGCATCAGCATCTGCTTCGTCATTTTGGGTCTCAGTAACCTTTTCATGACCAGCAAACTGTTCTGAGAGCTGTGGTCTTGAATTATCTTCAAGCAGACGTCGACTCTGAAAGACGTTTCCTTATTAGTATGAGGGCGTACCATTTGTTCGGAAGACTCATTTGGCATACACAGTGCTGGAAGTAATTTTTTCTTTGTAATCGAATCAGCTTTCTCTGCACCTTCTTCAAATGTTTCCTCTTTTTCATCACATTTACGCGTTCCTTCTTTTGCGACTCTAGCTGATGTTTTCGGCAGCATTTTTTGTACCAGACGGAGGATACTAGCAATCAGCGCATCCTAAAATTGCGTATCCGAAGCTTTAATCTTACTGAAAACTCAGCATCATGTTTAAGGAGTGCATTTTTAAAGCTATCAAAAGAATTGTTCTTCTTTGCTAGATGAATTACAAATTCAGCTAAAGTAATTATATTAGAGAACAACTTCAGGGCTACCCAAAACTTTGTCCTCGAGGCCCAAGTGATTGTTTAATTCAGTGCACACCTTGGAAACAAGAGAAAAATATTCAAGCTTCCGGAATGCTTTATCATCTGGATTGGGTGCAGCCATACCCTAAATTGACACCAACTCCAAATGTGCCGCTCACTTAAGCAGCACAATCAAATCAATTCCAATTAAATATATAATTAACATCTGATCAATGTGATAAACTGAATGAAAACATAAAAATAAGAAACTGTATGTTTTAAATGAAAGAATTATTCCAAAAAGCGTGCTTTGAATAAATTATAGACCAATTACTCAAATCTAGGCACATTTGTTCGAGGACAGTAATGAAAATCGCATAGTTTTAACTCTGCATCGTAAGATATAAGCCCAGTATATAAATTTGTTAAGGTTTGTCTGCAATCGGGGACTGTAATCTTTTGACATTTTTGAGGAGTTCTGATTCATCAAAATTATATTGTTTATTCTCCACAAAATTATGGTGAAGCTGCTATGATTCGGTAGGAGATATTTACCACTGACTACTTCATGCCTGTATTTATAGAAAAAGAGAACGCCAATTTTTCTTGAATGTTTACTAAATATCGTGAACCCATTTATTTTTTGTACATTCACCACGTCCACAACTTCGGATGTTGTTTTTCATTGGTTAACAATAATGGTTGCATTTTCTTGTTTCTTTTTTCATTGAATTTAAAGCAGATGGTTTTCTGAGATCCTTTTCAAAATGTTATATATTTATTAACCTTGTCACTCCTCTGTTGCCCCATCTTTTTTTCTTTCGTGAGGGAATTTTACTAGCCGACTGATTCAGTGTCGAATACCCGATCCCTGGCGTGAAGAATACTGGTATGACAGAATTATTCTTCACATAACATCAACAAGCTAAAAGTCTTTAGCCAGATGCCGAACACCCATGTCCTCAATTCTGGCTGTGTTGCTCGTTTTACTGTGTACCCCATCCTGCCGCATCTCTGGTTGGCTTCTGAACGTCATCCTAGTGTAGAATACGCGAGCCCTAATAGGTAAAAGACCGGTACAACAGAACAGGCTTTAATGACCATTCAGAAGCCAGAGCCACGCGTCAGGCGCCTTCCATCCGAGTCCACCACGCTGGCCACGCCGCTCATTATATACTGCATCTCATCCATGTCCTTCTCTGGTTGGCTATCTTCCTTTCCGGCATGCCATTGGATCGCAGAGAGACACGGGATTGGCTGAGGCCAGGTGGTG